AGGCAGTTCCGTGCGTGCTGTTGGTGGTATTTCTGGCCGAGTTGCAGGTGATGGTCGATTCAAGAATCCTTTAAATTGATCAGCCCATTGTTTTATTTGTTTCTTCTCCTTCGTAATCACGTTCCCTTGAGCATCTTTTATTGGTTTCACCAACTGGGTTGATCTCTTCTCGGATAGAGACCTGGTTATCTGATATAATGATCTGAGATCTCTTTTACCTGCGGCCTGTTTGTTCTGCTTCAGTTACCGGCTAGTGTGTCGTGGATGTGTCTTTCCTGGTACTCTTCTTCACTTCTTTATTCAGTGCAGTGTACATTGAACTTAGTTTCTCCTTCTGCTCTCCATCTTTGGATTGAGTTATCTTCTTTTTCACTATCCTCCTCTCTTCTGTTAGCTTCCAGGTATCCGCTGAGAGCCAGTAAGCTGATAAATGAACCATTAAATAGGCGCAAGAGTCACTTCCGAATCAGAAGCGTGGAATTATCTGAACAAGATGTAGGTTCATGTAACGTCATGTTTCATAGAATAGTTAGGGTCACATAAAAGGTTTGATAATTGTATGCAATTAATACACTGTCACAGTATGAAGTAAATACCAATAGAACAGAATAAAATACTGTCTGACAGAATAAAGGAAAATATAACCGAACATATGTGGAAGGAATAGCAGAAGTAAAATAAATACATAAAGAAGAATGAAACTAGTGGGCGAACACCAAATTCAATTTAAGCCCTGCCACAATTGTTTCACAGGGACCGAATTTGATTTCTTCAACATAAACGTTTAATAAAGCGTATGCATGTTTTCATTCCTCTGTTATATGAATACAAACCTTCTAATTTTTCGCAATTTTCTGAAATGCAATTTTAGATAATCCTCCCCATAAAGAAGATAAGAGTTCTTGTGTAAATAATGAGAATAGTAGCAGTAACGAAGAGTTTCCAGTCTTCATAGTAATGTTGTACAAGTAAGGAATATCAAAGGCCCTACGTAGGATTCTTAATAAGACTGGGATTAGAGTGGCATTTAGACTTCCTCAGAGATGAACTACGTTTTTCGAACATTAGAATTTACCTAGAACTAGAATAACTGACTCAAATGAACTGTCGTCAAGATTTGACAGAATAGTTCTAAAATATTTGGGCGCCGAGTGACAAGTAGACATTTGTAAAAAATTATATTTGTAAAATCTCAGCGAGATTGAAATGAGTAATTCCAACGTTTCGTTCGCCAATCTGGTCCGAACTTCTTCAGGGAAATTAATCGAAATTAACATAACAGAGGTTTATGTATAAAAGGAACTTCACTTGTTTTTAAAAACTTTGTCCAATCATGAGTCATTCAACAAGTATTTTTTTTCCCTTCACGTTCCCAGTGGAACATAGGGCTTCAAGCTAGTGGCTTGAAGTTTCTGTAGCAGTATTTCTTTTATTTTACAGGAGTTGCTAGCCTCATGCCCAACAACAAGTATAATAAACAAAATTTTATGAGCTGTGATCAAAATTTGACCTCGGACTTAGAAATATCGGTCCACCTTTGTTAAACACTTTAAACAGAGTGTGTATGTGTGTGTGTGTGTGTGGGTAGACAGTTGTAAAACATTTCTTAATGTCTCCATAAGGAGATATGGACAGTCGAGAATTCTGACCAAGTATTAATAATTAGTGATACATATCCATTTTTTATTTATTAATAGGGATTTCCTATGCATCAGCTAACATCACGCCTTCATGTCTGTTCAAACTGTTATTATCTAGAATTTTATGATTAGACGTAGTTTCAAAATTATGGTGTTTAGGATTACAAACGTCTACTTCTCACTCGGCGCCCAAATATTTTAGAACCATTCTGTCAAATCTTGACGACAGTTCATTTGAATTATTTTGCAATCGAATTAAATTAACAAAGAAACTGTGTAATCGGAACAGTCATCGTGTTTTCACTCTCCGTTGTCTGCAACAGAATGCATATCCTAAATCCGTAGCTGTCGAGTCACCTGACAACTCCAGTAGGTCGAATAAAGCAGCTCAATCTTCAGAAAGACGACAAAGCAACAAGTCCGACAGGGTACTTCTACTAAACTCTAATCCTAAACACCATAATTTTGAAACTACGTCTAATCATAAAATTCTAGATAATAACAGTTTGAACAGACATGAAGGCGTGATGTTAGCTGATGCATAGGAAATCCCTATTAATAAATAAAAAATGGATATGTATCACTAATTATTAATACTTGGTCAGAATTCTCGACTGTCCATATCTCCTTATGGAGACATTAAGAAATGTTTTACAACTGTCTACCCACACACACACACACACATACACACTCTGTTTAAAGTGTTTAACAAAGGTGGACCGATATTTCTAAGTCCGAGGTCAAATTTTGATCACAGCTCATAAAATTTTGTTTATTATACTTGTTGTTGGGCATGAGGCTAGCAACTCCTGTAAAATAAAAGAAATACTGCTACAGAAACTTCAAGCCACTAGCTTGAAGCCCTATGTTCCACTGGGAACGTGAAGGGAAAAAAAATACTTGTTGAATGACTCATGATTGGACAAAGTTTTTAAAAACAAGTGAAGTTCCTTTTATACATAAACCTCTGTTATGTTAATTTCGATTAATTTCCCTGAAGAAGTTCGGACCAGATTGGCGAACGAAACGTTGGAATTACTCATTTCAATCTCGCTGAGATTTTACAAATATAATTTTTTAGAATAACTGACACTGGTAAATTACGTAATGTGGAAAACGAACTCGTTCACTGCAATGCCCTCACTCACATGCAACCACATGATGGTGGGTTAGGGTAGAAGTGTTGGAAAGTGTAACATTTAAGTGGAAAGAGACGTTCATTCATCAGGTCAGCATTAAACAGATCCAATCGAAATGACACAACAGCTATCCCGAATATGTTGTAAAGTGTATTAAAGGGCATATGATGCAAGTTGTGAAGTCATGACAATACATCTATATGATTATTAGCAGTAAGTTATGCTAGAAATGTCATCCAATTAAAAATGCTATATGACTATGTGTTATATCAAACAAACTTGTCTCAAATGCCCGAAATGCCCTTCATTTTAACACAGCAAGTAACCATCTATCTCTATTCAGTAATTCCTATGTCATAAACTGTACCCGCTGTGCAATTTATAAACTGTATGTGTAAATGTGCTGTCAGTACTTAAAACTGCCTATTGAGATTATTTATCTGATTCTCATGAGCATTCGTGGACTAATTTATTAACTCTTCAATGAAGTTGACAGACTGTTTCATTTGTAGATAGAAAACAAAAACGTAGGATGACAATTTTATTGTATGAACAAACACTTAATGTGTTATAATGTGTTGCAGTGTACATTGAAATGAAAATAAGAATGCACTTTCAACTCCATATATTTTTAAACAAGATTGCCCACAGTAAATTGAGAAATGGGTAAGTAAGTGCATAATCTGAAATTATTGAACTACAGTCTTTTAAAATCTGATCAATAAGTATATATTGGTGAAGAGTTTAGTAGTTCTGTAGGAATTAGTTACTATTGACAGAGGTCTTATGATAAAATGAAATTTAGATGACTTTACTGCTTCGTCACTATTTGAAGCTTATTCCTAATTACTGGAAGTAGTTGTAATAGTAATAACGATAACAGTCAATAATATCTACTACTTTGCAAACTCTTAAGTGAAATATATTTGTAAGCATGTTCAGCAAAACTTATGTGAAGTCGACCAGCATTTCAACAAAGTTATAAAATATTCACAATCCTGTATATCGTTGCGACTGCTTTCGTCACTAACCACTTTTCTTATCATTTGACCAGACGATAAAAAAATGAGTCATGCGAAAAAAAAATAACAATGTAATAGTGTGATGTCAAGCATTGCATTTCCCAGCTATATTCTTAAACGTCACACTGAATAAGGTAAAAGACAAATTCATCTTGTAGCAGTACACAATATACCGATCCGACCTTAAATTCTACACAATTGATACAGCATGAATCTCCAAGCGGTTGTTGACAGTCTTATGCAGCTGTTCAAATATTTTGGAAAGCAATACCAGTACAAAGATGTCCACACGCTTACACGAAAAAACAAACAACATAATCTGCAACATTCTAATAAAGTTTTGTTTTCAAGTCCCAATTTGTAGTGATTTGACTGTTTTCAGGCGAGATTACTAATCAACGTTAGTTAGGGAAAAATTGAAGAAGATTCCAGGATTTCTGATAACAAGTCGTGACCAGTGGTGTCCACCGTATCGGATGCAAGAACAAACACTCACCGATAACTAAGACTGACGGTGGAGCTATATATTTAGCAAATCGGTAGAAGTTAGAATTCACTGAACCACTAGTGGGTTTCTCTCCCACTGGGTGAACGGTCAATGGGGTAGCCTTGTAAACCGGAGGTTCTGGGTTCGATCCTTAGTGGTGTGACAATTGAGTACTTCTGAAGAGTCCCAAACTAGGACGAAACGACTGTTTAGTGACCAGTGGTTTGAAATTATTCTCCAAAAATGATATCAACTTGCGATCTAACTTGAAGTGTGATTTTTGTTTTAAATTTTACGCTTACAGTTTACTCCGCAAATAACTGCAACTTTGATATATAACCCTTTAGGTCTTCAGTAAAGTAGCTTGATGTCAACTTTCATTTACAGCTGGCTGCTAGGTAAAATGCCAGGTAAATAAATTGTACGATTGTAAGTGAATGACTGTGTAAATGTTATTATTTTGATTGTCTTCAGTGTACAGCTTACCACCTTATTCACCGGAAGCTTTGACGATACACTTAATTGAGGTGAATTAAAGTTTTGAAAACAAATTATAACATGTAGGTGGAAGTTGAAGTTTAAAGTGAGCATCATTAACTTTTCGAGATAGCAAAGCAAATCAATACAATCCTTACAACTTAGTTTATTCAAAATAAAAATATTATTTTATAAAAAACACCCAACTAGATCAAGATTTATTCAAATATGTGTATTTAAATGCCATTTTTTTTTATCAGAATGAAATAGAACATTTTTAAACGATTAGTGTTCTGCTGAAATCCAGCCATTCTAATTCCTATGAACAAACGTCACTATGTTTTTTTTCAAAACGTATTTATTTTATTTAAAATGGTGCACTTTTTTTTTCAATACACTTTCATTTCTAACTGGTTACATGAGACTGAACGAATTGAACAAATCGATGGTCAGCTAGAATGGGTACATGACTCGATGCAGGCAAATGAATAATCTTTACATCAGGCCAATGGGTGCATACTTCTAAGCTTTCCAAGTTGACTGTTCCATCACCATCTCCATATTCTAGCACTGGTGCTTGGTTAGGAAATGCATCTCGATAAATGCCTGCTGGTTTATAAACTAATCTCTTCATAGTTACCAGGCCAGAACTGTAGATACAGTAAACTTCAGGGACATCTGCTGGTGGAGACAGAGTAATGAAATTTTCTCTAGCCTTCATCATTACTTCATAACCTGAAAGGTAAATAAACACAAGTGAACTTTCAGTGAGTTAATTAAAAGAAAAATAATGCTACCTACGGTTTTGAAAATACGCGCGTAATGATATTTAAAACTGGCGATCAAAACCGCCTGTAATTACAGTTGTTCCTTGATTTGAAAGAGAAGTCTAGTCAATGGTCGCAGTGGTTTATCACGTAGAGCTGGTGTTACCTTAGTATAAAAAGTTAAACTGTTTTTACTCATGCTATAGAATTTAACGACATATCATGATATTGAACTAAAAACTGCCTTTCAACTACTAAATAAAATTTCAGCCTGGTGAACGAATCCCACTTCTTGAAAATGTCATATTTAGTTCAGTGTTTAATAGTAATAAAAATAATCACTTGTTGAAGAAGTTCATTTTCAATAAAGAAATAGTTAGCTCAAATCAAACATAAGAGATTGATTTGAATAAGGCATTAAGAAGACAAATTTCGCGAGATGATATCATTTCGTAGTTTCTTTACAACCGCTTTACAACTAACATGGTTAGCAATGATAAAATAAAGTTCATGACAATTACTCAGTTAAATAAAAAACAAAGTGCATACTAATGACCAATCATATTTGGATGGGTCATGTAGTCTATGGTAGGCGAAGATTGAAGTCTATTGTCTTTTGTACACACAGTTTAGGCTGTATGTGATCAGTCCAAAGTGCTTCCATCACCTTCAATAACCTTGAATTAGAGTTATGTGAAATAATTGTGAAACTTTATCATTTGTCACAGTAAAGAAAGACCACATCTCGAAAAGACAGCTTCTGTACCAATGAAAGCTATCTTCATTAACCTACCATTCAAGGGTGACCAGATTATGCAGTTGACAGCTCAAAGACTTCGGTCAGCCATCAAACGCACATTCTACGCCGCATCTCTTTTTCTCATTTGCAGAACATTTTCGATCCCTGTACCTACGATTAAAGGACGAAATTCGGCGGACTCTACTTCAAACTGTATCTACAAGTTCACCTGCAGCTGCGGTGACACCTATATAGGTAGAACCAACAGAATGTTCCAATGTCGTCGAAAAGAACATGTTCCAAAATGGCTACTAAATCATAGAAAATCCCAACACGAGTAATCTGAATAGAAATCCAGCATCATCCATTGCAAAACACTTATTAATGTCAGGTCACAAAATCAATATTAATGACTGTTTCACAATTATTTCACATAACTCTAATTCAAGGTTATTGAAGGTGATGGAAGCACTTTGGATTGATCACATACAGCCTAAACTGTGTGTACAAAAGACAACAGACTTCAATCTTCGCCTACCATAGACTACATGACCCATCCAAATATGATTGGTCATTAGTATGCACTTTGTTTTTTATTTAACTGAGTAATTGTCATGAACTTTATTTTATTATTGCTAACCATGTTAGTTGTAAAGCGGTTGTAAAGAAACTACGAAATGATATCATCTCGCGAAATTTGTCTTCTTAATGCCTTATTCAAATTTATCAAAGGGACTAATTGTTTTAATAAGAGATTGAGTTTAATAGTAAGAGAAATTTATGTTCACCACAATATATATATATATATATATACTGCTTATGATACTTGACAGCTTTAAATTGTATTCAAACTTCAACAAAGCAATAGCTGTACAAAAGAAGCATACACTGTGAATTTGTTTAAGCTAATTTATGTCCGGTTGAATGACTATACTGAACCGAAATGTTTGATCACTTTTGACGTGTTGGCTATTAATACGGACGTCTCGAAGACATCTGAAGATTGATACGGTGTCATTTAGTTGATGGTTGCCCCCAATGGATTCTAGGATGCACATTTCCTCCTATTTAGGACTCGCCAGCGATTAGCTGTTATCTCACCGTGTCTCGAAACCTTTGAAAGATAGCTTTCATAACAAAAACAAGCCGTCTCTATTAAACTATCACTCAAGGGTGATCAATTCATGCACCTGACACCTCAGAGACTTTGACCAGCTATCAAGCTCACATTCTACGCAGCGTCGTTTTTGCTTACCTCTTGAACACCTTCACTTCCTGTGTTGACGATTAAAGAAAGAAATTCTATGGACTAGACCTCGTACTATCTACTAATTTACCTGCAGTTGCGAGGACATATATATATGTATATAATTAGAAGTAATGGAATGTTTTAGTGTAGTAAAAAAGAACATGTTCCTTAATGGTCCTAAGCGACACAGAAAATGCAAATATACTCAGTCTCAATAGAAGTGTAGCATTATTCACTGCAAAACCAGTGTTCTAATGACTGTTTCCCAGTTATTTCACCTAACTTCAATTCAAGGTTATTAAAAGTGATGAGTCACGCACATCACAAACTATGCGCGCAGAAAATAATAGGCTTCCACCTTTGTCCATCTGGAACTACTTGACCTATTAAGAAAATGTTATGCACTTTTATTTTATTCACAACTGAATAATTGTCAGATATTTTTTTACTTATTGTGAACCATGCCAGTTGCAACACGTTTGTAGAAAACTATGGAATGATGTCGTCTCGCGGTATTCATCTCCTGAACGTTTCATTTTAATTGCCAATTTGCTAAAGCCTTAAAAATTCTATACCGCATAAAAATATTTCCTCTTGCTTGGAAGTCGTTCTAACTTCAACATGGAGATGATTCATAAAGAATGTTTCATGTATTTGTTTCCATTGAGAAATCTCGATAAAGGGGGGGGGGTGAGATCAGATTTGCAGGATAAAATGATATCATTCTATTTCACAGGTTCTCATCTACCGCAAACCACCTGAGATTACAATTGTTATAATTAGTGATAATAACATACTTTAATACTTGAATGGTAGCAGAGAAACATTATTAAACCAACGCGTTCGAAATATAAGCTGTACAATTTCTAGTATAGGTTACCACACCAATTCATTTGCTTTTGAACAAAAATTTCTGTAAAGTTATGTTGCAAAACGTTGAAACTGACTGACGTCATACAACATTGTACTGGACCATTCAAACACATTCGACCAAAACTTTTCCCAACTCCTGCTCACTTATAATGCTGACATCAACATCACGAAGGATCTCCAACAGAATTCAATTTGAAATCAATGGTAAAATGCTTCTACCACGTTAAGGATCATAAGAGTGATGAATAATCACTCTTGGAATATAAAACAGGCATAACTGATAGCAGGTTAATTCAAATGAGCATTTTCACGGTTTCATTTCCGTTGTGGTTTCCAGTAGATGACAGGATATTCATACTAGTGTTTGGTGAAACAAAACACACTCTGAATTACACAAATTGAGATAAGTGTAGGATATCTTTATTTAATTATTGCAAGCAGATATTTATTTTCGTCATTTCTTAACCCCAACTCATTTTAAAGTATTTTGAATCTTTATGTAAATTAGTTGTAAGTACCATGATAACCAACAAAAGGCCTAAAGAACCAACGAAGACAGGAGTCTAGGTGAACATAGAGCAGACGGAGGTGATGAAGACAACCAACGAACAGCAACAGCGACAACAACAACAACCAACACTAATTACCATCAACGGGAGAGATTTAACAGAGGCTACTTCCTTCACTTAAATGCGAAAAATCGTTTCAACCACAGGCAGTCGGAACGGATGAAGAGATCGAAGTCAGCCAGCCACAATGGGAAAGGCAAGATACACCTTTATCACTCTGAAATGAGTCTGGGGATCTTGTGCACTCCACCTCAGCATAAACAGGAAGATTCGGATTTTCAACACAAATGTGAAGTCAGTCAGCACTTCTATATGGGTCATAAACTTGCACTGTACATCACGAAGACCGTTTTGAAAAGCTGGATGTAGACTTTTATCAACAGCTGCCTGTCTTGGCTGTCTATCTGTTGAAGACTAGATGGTCGATCAGAGATAATTAGCAACAAGATACCCTGGCAGGTGACAAACCAACCAAGAAGCTATTGTTCAACAGACATATAAGAGAAAATGCAGATGGATAAGTTACACACTGAGAAGACCATCGGGTGATATCGCTCGCAAATCAGGCCATAGCTCAAGTGGGTCGTCACATAGGGAGTGACATGGAGGAGATCGTGCGGTGTGGAGGAAATAAAAGATTATGGGCAGCAGAGAATAGGGCAAAGTGTAGATGTGTTGCTGAAGCCCTATGTCCCACTTGGAACCCAAGGGAATAATAATAAATAATATCATGATAACCAGAGAAGTTTGGGTTCACTCTGAAAGTGATCAGTCACATCTATGATTGTATACACGTGACAATGAAAATCACTGACCTCAACACTTTAATGTGACCTAGTCTATTTTATTTACTAGCCATCTTCCTAATTATATGCTCTTTTGTGCGTCGGTGGCATAGCGGTTAGGACGCTCGCCAACCATGCACATGGTCCGGGGTTCGATCCCCGGCCGGCGCACTCCATTACCTCGCTAAGCTAGTAATAGAACTGGCAAAGAGGGAAGATTGGGCATGAGGCTAGCAACCCCATCCTGTAAAAATTAACACTGCTACAGAAACTTCAAGCCTCCAGCTTGAAGCCCTATGTTCCACTGGGAACGTAAAGGAATAAAAAAAGTACTAAAGATTCGACATATAAAGCGACTATCGAATGAAGACAGTATTTGTTTATACGTGTTTGACCACGGATTGATATCAGTTAGAAACCACTGAAAGCCAGGGAGTACTGGACAGCTGTTTCATCCAGTACACCCTGGTTTTCAATGGTTCTCTAGTCCTTACAAACCAAACTCTTAAAGACAGTACTGTCAGTTACTTTGAATTTCTGGGGTGTCTATCTTGAAGTATATACTTATAACTTACGATTAAATGAAGTTTTTATGTAAGTCTAATGTGAATATTAATAAAGTTTACACTCTTTATTACGATGTCTTGTGAACTTACCTAGTGGGAAATCTATGTCCCTGAAAAGAGCTTGGTAATCATTCACTGTATAATTTCTTGTCGGCGTTGATACCAACACCTCATCTGGAAGCCATACTCTAGGATGTGGCACAGTTGACACAATAGAAGTAAACGATCGTAGAATTGGACGAAAAGATAAAGGATTTCGGAAAAATACTGAAAAATTATCGCCTAAAAATTAACAACGAACAATAGAAGATTATAAGCTTTGATGACAGAACTTACAAAGATACGCATCTCTAACTAAAAAGCTATCGAAATTTGATAATGTAAGGTGTCAACAGTTGCCACTCTTTATCTAAATAAGTATCACAAATGATGAGTTAAAGGCCGCGACTCTGGCGATGAGTTGAAAACACAGGTGAAGTGAAGCAGAGAGTCGTCATCAATAATATCACGGAAGTCATTTTCAGTGCTTGACATTGATAGAAAAAGCCATATTGTTTTTGATTAAGTTACTATCAGAAGTCAAGGCACACTACATAATTCAAAAGAATTTATGTGGTGCAAGTGTGAACAACAACTAGTATTGTTAAACAAGAGACCAGAATATGAAACACAGTAAAGACAGCATGTATTTAGAAAGACAATTATTGATGATTTCAATGGTAAGAAAAAAGATTATTCGCACCTATAGAGGTGGTATACAACGTTTGCACTTCTTATGCCTCAGCTACACCGAGGTGTTTGTTCGAACGGAAAAGCTTCTTTTGTTTTCTGTGAATTATTCATTTATGCATGTACTGACATGATAACATCATTGGAGATTCGTTCAGCTTGAATTTCTGTGGGGTTTCGTAAATATAATGTACGACAGATTCTGTCGTCCCGGTCGTCGTTCTTCTCTGTGTGACTTTTGTGTTCATCTTAGTCTGGGGGATAATTTCAAGTGATTAGTTACTTATATTGTCATGTTCTGGAGACACACCTTAGTTAAGCTAGTCTAACCCACTACCCCGTATCACTGTGTCATAACAGTGTTATATTTCCATGTCGTAGATGAATTTCTACAAGACTTCGAACAGTTCTCACTAGCATACATTTTTGTGTGAAGGAAACTCAATACAGATATTATTTTACAATCGCTGGTGTAATACAAATCAGCATATTCATGTAAAGGTGGGGGTACACAATCACTACACCTACAAGGTAGAAAATCTTTTAGTACGAACATTTGTACAACTTAATTACAAAACCCTAGAACTCTGCTTCATTATTTCAGACAGTTATCAGCATGGCAAACTTGGGGTCTCAAGAAAGTTGATATTCTTTCATATGGAACCTGCATTGCTCAGCAAAACACTCAGAGCCGTCGGCATTTTCATTTGTGTGGCAGTCACCGTACGTCAAAAGGACGTTAACTGAGAACTAAACTCTATGAACTGGGATCTGCATTTAATTAAATAAAATTTTATGAACAAAATACCAGTGACTTTAGGCTAGGATCTCTGCGGTGTAACAGGTTGTCAGAATTAAACAGCGGTACGGAGTAATGCGTCGAAGGCTCAGCGGCAGAACACTCACCAACCGCGCCTCATGCGGTCTTGGGTTCGATCCCTGGCCGACGCACTCTACAACCTCGATAGGCGGATAAAGAGGGAATGTTGGGCGTGGGACTAGCTAGCCTACACTGTAAAAATGAAATCACTGCTACTGAAACTTCAAAACTCAAGCTTGAAACCCTATGTTCCACCGAGGAACGTAAAGGAATAAATTAATAATAAAAATAATGGAGTAATGCTGAAAACGAAGAAAACGCAAGTGTCTAAGATCTCACTCTCTTACAACAAAAATAGGCAGATACTGAGCGGCATCAGCAGTCAGCATGGAAAATTTAATAAGCTCTGCATAGCCTTCATGGGACAACCACATATTTTATTCAAAAATCAGCAAATGTGAGTTCCTTAGAACACAGAAACCTGTGCAATTATAAAAGCATAATCTCTTACAACAACACTCACTACCCCCAACAAACTCTAACAGATTTATGAGTTCTTGAAAATCTCTTATTTTTTGAACAGTCTTTTTCTGCAGTTAAGTCCTAATTTATAAAACAGCTTGAGATATGATATATATATATATATATACAGCTGGGCTATTCGAACAAATGTGTCCTAACCCTAGCATGGCAATGATATTTTACGTCTTAGTGGCTTACAGGCATGTCACATACACAGTCCCTGAATTGCCTATACCAGTGCAATAATCCCAAAGTGTACAACTGGCTACAAAACAGTGGTTTTCATGTCAAGAGATTTTGAAAGAATCATTCCAAACTTAAAATTCCACTAGTAGTGGTACACACCACATTATTCTTTTGTTTGTTTATATTTTTCTTCCAACCTATATAACAACAGCACATCAGTTTAGAGAAGCTTTAAAGCTACAATAAGCATAGACTGGAAGTCCAAATTTAACAGGTTTCAATTAAACAGAAATTTTATCCTCAAATATTTATCTTCTTAGATTTCATAGTAAACTGTTGAGAAGACTAGCGTGTAGGTTATCTATCAGTTAGAAAGTCAATAAAAAAACATTGTTTGTCTTTCTTCACTCATATTGAATATTTAATATTACTACTTTTAGGCGTTAATTTATACAATATAGCACAAAGTGAAGTAGAAATACCTAGTGCTAACAAACATTCTGAGCGCCAGCTATCGCTTATTTATTATAACTATTATTATTATATTATTCCTTTGGGTTCTGAGTAGAACATACGGTTTCAACAACACATCTACACTTTGCCTATCCTCTGCTGTCCTCTTCAGTTGGCCGTGTCCACGATTTTCCATAATCTCTCCTCGCCTTCTCGCCACACGATCTCCTCCATGTCACTCTCGATGTGGCAACCCACTCGTCGCTTCCCATTTGGTTTCACTGGAGCATTACGCGCGATGCCATTACACGATCTCCTCAGTGTGTGACCTGTCCATCTCCATTTTCTCCTACGAATTATTTGAACGATAGTTTCCTGGTTGTTTCGGTCCCATAGTTTCTTGTTGCTAATTCTTTCTGGTTGGTCATTTGAGCTTCAGTATGGAGCTAGCGAAGACAGCTGTTGATAAAAGTCTGCAGCATGTTGGAAACCCTACTGGTAACACGCTAAGTTCCTGACCCATATGCAGCTTCCTTAGTATATTCCTGTAACTCTTCTTTTAGCTAATATAGATAAGAGTTCTTTCCATGCTTCAGTATAGCCACTACGTCCACACAGTGGATTTTGATTTGAAGAACAAAGATTCATTTATCACCTTTTCTCTTCTCCTCAAAACATTAAGTTGTACAAATGTTAGTCTATCCTGTTCTATATTATGATTGTGTGTTACTGCATAAATCACCATGGCTTTGTTTTTTTACATTTCATAGATTAAAAAGGAATAAAACACTCCTACAAATGACGAACTCTCCTCTCAAACTATCATTCAGCATTTGACTGTATTTCTATGCTTTGACAATCTAAGTGATTTCAATGGACTAATCTGACTTATGTACTTGGCTATGCAGTTGTTCCACTGTGTGCGTTAGACTACATTGCTATTTTGCCTAATCAGGTCAATGAAACCACTACACTACACTAAAAATCCGCCTTTGGTTATGGTCTAACTAGGTAACTTTCGTAAGACCCCTGATGTTTTCTTTTGTGTTACAACACCATAGAAGCATCCAGTATTCTCTTGTGATGTTCAGGGGTTTTTGATGCTTCACTGATCAATTAAAAATTATTATGACCTGTAGGTTGAATTTACAGCCCTGTTACCTGGACACTGAACTACACTAACCCTTGCGAGTATAAGATGAAACAATAAAAAACAATTGAGGCAATTGATTGACTAACGTTGAAGGGTTTTAAAGACACGTGTCTCATCGCACTTATTTCACCTATATTATACTTTACACTTGAGCAGAGCTAGTCATTTCTGTTCGTGTCTTAAGACAATAGTTAGTAAAATTATAGCTGTTGTAGAGTTTATATTTGTGGAAGAAAACAAAATGGACATGTTTGGATTTCACCATGGCAAACATGTAATCCGTAGACTGCCAACATATCTCAAAGGTACGATTAAATATTCTAGAACCTGTATATCCCACACTTTTCATAAATATAATGGATAAAGCTAGTGACCGCTTGTCATGCATGGAAATTATATGGCTTTTGATTTAAAGTGAACACCTTAATGAACGCTTGAATTTTATGCTTCTGTTCACGTGTCTGTCATAGAGAATGTCTGTTCATTATGAACACAAAATGAAGTCATTTGAGATTAACTCTGAAGGTAAGCTGAATAAAACTCAGACGTAGGTTACAGAACGATTGGAAAACCTAGTGAGAAGTCGTGACCAGCAGGGTACAGCAGGTTGGGTGTGAGGACAAATACTCGCTGATGGTATTAACTAGTGGTAGTGCTATATGGAGAATTGGAGGAAGTTGGAATTCATAAAGTGGCCATTGAAATGGGTCCCAGAGGCCTAATGGTCTACGAAGTTGCCTTTTAACCGGAATTTCCTGGGTTCGAACCTTGGTGGGTGTGTGCTGATGAAGAATTCCCGAATTAGGAAGAAACAGCTGTCCAGTACTGTGAGATGGCTTTCCAGTGGTTCTCTAATCGATGTCAGCTGATGGTGAAATCCTGTGACCAATCAAATCAAATCCCTGCAAACCGATACTTGAATATAATACTCAGACAGTAGGAAAATACATTTGGTTTAATTGCCTCTTGATTATTTACAAATTAAGCCTACATTTTTTTTCAGTTATTCGAATTCTAAACAAACAGTGATTGACAGCCTTTATCATATAAACATTTGCATGAATTTTTTCTTGTTATTATGATTATTATCACGTCGATCATTTTCCACTAATTCATATGCCCGAACTTTGATACAGTTGACCACATCATTACCAAATATCAACGCTTAATAACATTGTGTGGTGTAATTGTAACACCTGATTAGAAATCACCAGAAATTAGTATTTGACTAAATTGTGTTCTCCAGTTATCATAATAAGGATATTTACATTGGTCTTATTCTATTCCCAAAGCTTAAAGATAAAGGTGTTGTTTGGTGAATGAATCTCGTAAGAATTGTTGTATCAGAACACAAACGTTAGTCGTGGAAAGGGCTGTATTTCTTCTCTTAAAGAGCAAAAGGCACAATATTCACTGAGTGCTAACTGGAAGAATGCTTACCGAGCACGTGAGAGATTTCGATTTAGTTCCTAGCCAATTTACTTTTAAACCTTCGCCTAGTCAGTAGTAAGTTTGGGAAAGAAGGAGGTTAGGTGGCAAGGCGAACAAACCCAACTAGTAAAAATCACCGCTATTGTTATTGAGTCTCCAAAGTTTAAGACTTTCACTTTGGAAAGGAAGGGATCTTAAAAGAATCATTGAAGGATTCACAGATTTCACTGACAAACCGTCTTAGACAGAATTATACCTAGAATGATTAGCAATAAACAACACGAAAATTCAGTGCACTGAAATATCAACAAGGTGAAAAGCATTGATTGATTCGATACAGCACTAAAAATTCGATAAGAATGACAATAAGTAACCCGTGACTGACTCGTTTCGATCAATCACATATTAAAATAATACAACTATCGCATACATTCCTTTATGATGAAATCCATAATTAACTTTACTATCATGTGACATCATCTCGAATATTCAGCCAGAATATGAGTCATCTCAACGCTTCCAACAAACACTAGTGAATAGTGTGAAGATCCATAGAACCAAATATCCCACAGGATATCTTGTCAACTCACTTGGCATCCAAAATCAGAGAATTCCTTCCGGTTAAGGGAATGTATGCATGCAAAATCACCAATCATAAAGTCTGGACGGCATCAAAATCAGCCCTAACCTGTTCACTTATGAACCGTGCTGATTCGGCCTTCATAAATCTCAGTCTCTCTTCAGCTGAGAAGAAGTTGAACAGCATTTCTAGACATAATAATCAATAATTCACAAGTTCTTTGCTAAACGTGCTTTCACTTATCGGTTTATTCAAAGATATAGGTTGTCTACGTCATAGTTGTAGTGACTTATTCTAAAAATGGTTACTTCCAATAAATTAAATCATTAAATGTTATTATCAGTTAGACATTAACTCTGACGCAACTGATGCGAATAAATTCAATGTCTGATTCATTTGGAGTGGTATAGTTTAATCGAATAGAAAAAATATGTATTGAAAGTTGACTTCACAGTGTCATAGTGGATAATTTATGACATTACAATCTAGAGCATTTTGCTCAAGGGTTCTAGCAACAGTAAAATAGCGAATTATACTAATCCTTAAAAACCAAACTATAGAAAATTATTCTGATGCTCGCTAGTGACTTGCTACAGGTTGGAGCTTCCTGGAGTTCTAGTGAGAAGTCGTGACCAGTGAGGTCCAATTAGAAGTCACGTGTGTGGATGGATGTCCCACCAACGACAATAGTTGGGGTCGCGCTAAAATCACGAATTGGTAGAAGTTAGAATTCATGAGCCATTGAATCGGGTCCCAGTGGCTGAATGGTGTACGAGCTTGCCTTGTGACCGGAAGGTCCTGGGTTCGAATCCCAGTGGGTGCGTACTGCCGATGATTCCCGAAACTAGGATGAAACAGCAGCTGTCCAGTACTCCCTGGTTTTAAATGGTACTCTAACTGATATCAGTCCGTGATCAACTCGTAAAACATAACTAATCCTTACAAACCAAAACTATAGAGAATTATACTAAAGTAATTTGTTATTGAATAGTCCTTTATGTGATTTTTATCATTTACCTGTTAATTCACTGATCAAATTTACCCTTTTAATATGACGTTAACGTGTATCATTGATTAACTGACTGAGTGGTCACCATACACGCACGCCTAAACCTCACCTAGTTTACCAGTAGGTAATGAACCCGCAAAACACAGGAGGCTGGGCGGTAGGCCAGCGAATCCAACTCGTAAAGCAATACCACCGTTAGTGAAAGCCCTGTATTTCACTCGGAACGCAAAGAAATGAAAGAAGGACGTTGTTGTCATGTTTTCAAAGCAGACGATATCGCAAGCTTTTATGCATACTGTTACATACTACTTGAACTGAGTATTAAACAATATTAAATAATCGTGTCAGTCAGTAATTCGTCACAATTAGAAAAAATATTGCATAAAATCCAATGAATCCAGGAGATCAGTTATACAGAAACTTCTCCGTCCATCAGACACTAGAACGACTGGGCGTCGAAACTAAAAATCGTCTAATTACTCCTAACTTCCTATGTTTGGTTATCTGCCTAGTTACATCCACCTAAATATATATATATATATATATATAACTGAGGAAACTCTGTACACCATAAAGAAGAATGCAGCCGCCTGTCTTAATTGAAATGTATTGGGTTTTGTAGGGATTTTTTTGTTTGATTGGTTGGTGGATTTCATCACCTGGAAGTACTAGACAGCTGTTTCGAGCTCGCCTTGTAACCAGAAGGTGTTGGGTTTGAACCCCGGTGAGCGCGTACTGATGGAGAGTCCCAGACTAGGACGAAACGGCTCTCCAGTACTCCCAGGTTTTTTTAGTGGTTCTCTAACTGATGTCAGCTCATGATGAAATCTTCCAATTAATCTAAGTGAACTTGGTTTCTTTTGCCGGATTGTCGTCTGTGAAGTGGTTATATTTTGTCTGTTACAATTAGTCTAACTTTTAGCATACTACTGGCACCTGACATTTATCTTAATTGATTCTACATGTTCTAACCTGACTCCCTTTGGGAGGCTTTATCGAATCTTGTACAGAACATCAAAACAATTTTTCAAATGGTTCTGTGTGTGATGTGTGCTGAATTCGTGAGATGTTCTCTCATCGAACTATGGGCACACTTCCATCTTCCCTTCACTAACCAGACTGGATAGTGTTTCCGAGGACATTTTTCAAGATCCTATACCAGATCGCATCAAAATTTTTAAAGGGTGTGAGATCCAGACATCTGGACATAAGTGATGCCTTAGCGATGCGAAACTTCAAGCCAATGCTCTGTGTCCAAAAGAAGTATGTCCGGCCTATTCGTAAGACTTTACTGCATATGAATATGATGAAGAATAAGTAGTCAGATAGTCATATGGTCAGACTGGTGAGGAGGACCGTAGGGAACTGTCACACGGTCGTTATTTGAATTTACTATCCGATTCATAGAGTCACCAAGGAACAGACACTTCAACGTTAGTATCTTTCAACAGTAATGCCTTCAATATTTTGTTAAAAACAACAGAAATTGTTGCCAGCGCTGTTAGGAATCAGCAAACTTTCATACTTTTGCACTGGAAAGTATCAATAAAAATGAAATCGATTATTCTCTATGATGCGCAAAACACAGTAACAAACTTCAAGGCAAAAATATTTAAATATCTCTTTTTTCAAGTGTTTATTTTTGAATTAAATTCACACTTATAAAATGACTGATAGTATAAAATATGTTCAAGTATTGGTTTGTAGGGATTTGGTTGATTGGTTACATGATATCATCATGAGCTGAAATTGGTGAGAGAACCACTGAAAAATCTGGGAGTACTGGACATTACAGGATTTCATTATGAGCTGACATGTCCCAGTGGCTTAATGGTATACGAGCTAGCCTTGTAACCAGAAGGTGCTGGGTTCGAACCCCGGTGGGTGCGTACTGCTGAAGAGTACCAAACTAGAACAAAAAAGCTGTCCAGTACTCCCAGGTTTTCCAATGGTTCTCTAACCAATGTCAGTTTATGAAGAAATCATGTAACCAAATAAAATATGTTGTTGGGCTGTTTGAATGCATTAGAAGAAATGTGTCCAAATTCTAGTTCACTCACAATATTAAATGTAAGGCTTTTATTCATAGCTTTAATGATACTTGCTTCTAATAATCTATTCATAGGGAAAGGATGATTCACTGGTAGAATCCTTGCCAGTGATACACTCAGTCTGGGTTTCGATTCCTGGTTGACGCACTCCTTAAAGCTGCTTAGTTTACTTCATTTATAGAAATCTTATTCCTTTACATTCTCAGTGAAATATGGGGCTCCAAGCTAGAATCAGCTTGAAGTTTCAGTCGCAGTGGTTTTATTCTTTTACGGGTGAGACTGCTAGCCTCATGCCCAACATCTCCTCTTTATGGGCCTTACTACCGGCTTAGATAAGTTTAGGAGTGCGTCAGCCGGGGATCGAACCCAGGACCACGTGGAGCGCGGTTGGCGAGCGTTCTATCACTGAACCACCGGCACGCCTAGTTTGCAAGGAGGCAGCAAAATCGGAAAAAGGGAAGGCTGGGTATGTAGCTGGAAACCCTATCCCATAGACCTCTACTAAATATTCAAGGCCTGTAATCCTGTGTTCCACTCGTAACGCAAAGAAATGAAAAGAATCCATTCAAAAGAAATTATCATTAATACTATGTTGGCAAAAACAAAATCGCACCACATGAGTATCTCGAGAATATAACAGTACATGTGATTCCTCTGGATACAGTATAGACTGAAAATAAATGATTAACGTCAAAGAAGGTGAAAAAGGCTGATGTATTTGCTAACTTATGGGTTATACAGAAAATAATGAACATTTACCAAACTGGTGAATTAGCCTTACTGTGTCTCTCTTTCTCTTGTCCTAAACTCACAATATATGAAGTGCCTCTAGTTTAAAATATCTGTAAATGAAAATGATGCATTAAAGTCATAATGAAGATAAGGTTACAAGATTTTCTATGCTCTTAGTTGAAAATACTATCAGAACAATACTATAGGCAAGGGAATATACTTTGACTAATTTCATCTTGTATACAATGAATACCTCATTGATGTCCTTCCGAAAATCCTATTCACAGGTGGATTAACAGTCATGAATTATTTACACAACACTCAGATCTCAGCTGTCTAAAAGCGTAAACATGCAGCCTATGTGTGTTAATAATACTGCGAAATTTAACAGAAGAATATCAGACTACAAAAGTGGTGAAAATTCTCATTCCTTTATGTTAATTTGAACAGTTTCCATAAAATGTTTGATGTCTTTACTTGTAAATGCTATTTGTGCCCAGTGATTATAAGATATTCGGAAAAATCTTAAATAAAGTGTTCAACAATTGACTTACCAGAAGTAATGCCTAACAGAGCTTTTACAGAACCTCCAAATGGCGCAGAAACTGAAATATATGACTTCACATATTTTTGTTTCCATTCTTTCGTCTGTTTATTAAGAAAGTTCAATGTATACAGTGAACCCATACTGTGACCAATTAGAACAACTGGTCTCTGTTGTCCATTTTCGTATGTTTCTTCAACTAACAGCTTCAATCTTTCCATAAAGTCAGAATTCTCATCTGGTTAGGGAATTTAATTTAGACAGAAATAAAATTTAGTAAACATATGTCAGAAAATTTGTAAAGTATTAAGTATCTTTTTCGTCACTACTGTTTATCACGTGATGTGAAACCGGTTTGACACTACGAAATTTTTCTAGCGATCATTGTCGGACTACGTTCTCACTATATCATACAACATTAGGAAGACAAAATACCGTTGAACACCAACCAAGTGACTGATCTGTAGCATGTTGTCAAAGAGTCCTGAACTCCTTTCTGCCTAGGATGATAGTTGCGCATTGAGAATTAACTTAAAGCTGGGAGAAACAACTATTAAGAAATCTTCGATTTTCAACGGATCTGTAAATAATTTAAGTTTGGAAAAATTATCGACCTCTAAGTCAACTACATTGCTTTTTTTCCTTCACGTTCCCCAGTGGAACATAGGGCTTCAAGCTAGTGGCTTGAAGTTTCTGTAGCAGTGTTTATTTTACAGAATGGGGTTGCAAGCCTCATGCCCAACCTTTCCTATTCACCAGCATTATTTCTGACTTAACGAGGTAAAGAAGTGCGTCGGCCGGGGATCGAACCCCGAACCATATGCATGGTCGGCGAGCGTCCTAACCGCTATGCCACCGACGCACTCAACTACATTGCTACGAGTGTCTAAACTATGCAATAACATACTTAAGGAATTATAAACAGTGGCGTCATAAACGGCGAACGAACCAATTCACTTCTCAACGATAAATTCATTTTTGTCAAAGTTTTCAACCGATAAAAGTTCATCATGGGAAAGAGCTCAAAAAGTATAAGAACTTAATTTATGCAGATAAAAACTTATCATTTACAATGGAGAGACGGTTATTACCATTTCTAACAGTTCATCTTACGCTGAAGTTAGCACTGAAAGTGTTGTCCAGACAGACAATTATAAACCATCCAGCTCAAATAATGCAGCTACAACAAAAAGATGTCACTTTTTCTATTTAGTTCTGAGTAAGCATGCCTATTTTTAAAGTTGTAAATTGGGGACTTAAGATTACATTACAGACGGAATTATTGTCTAAGGCGATTTTAGTGCATGATGTGTTCCATTGAAGCAAACTATTTTTCTTGTGACTAAAGCAGTAAATAACTTTTCGGCAAAGTTAAACTTTAAGCAACCTTAACTACCAATTCGCAAATGACCTTGAACACACCAGTCACGTGAAGGAGGCATTTTTGTGTATGGAATACACATATTTATGAAAAAATGCATAAAACTGCATAAAAGTTTTACATAGGATACCTTCCTCTCAAGTGTGATAAAAATAGTTCTCTGTTTCAGGTCGGAGTATCAGCAGAGTATAATTCCATTGTGGGTAAAATTTATTTTGATAAAGTCTCATAGAGTTATGCAGTAAAGTAATATTTACGGAGCAATAAATTGTGCTCGAAACTTCATCAGTAAATATTAATTTTTAACGCTATGAGACTTTATCAAAATAAATTTTACCCACAATGGAAGTATACTCTACCACAGTGTACAAATTCTATTCTTATATCAACAGAGTAATTTAACCACACTCTATGCATGTAATTATTTAGGTCTTCTAACCCTAACGATAACCCTAATCTCCCTGAACCTAACAGTAACGTGAAAATATCCCTAAACTAACTGTAATCTAACTCGAACCAACTCTAATGTCGCATTTCCCAAACCGAAGCTGAAACTTGCCAGATATCCCATTTAATAACATAACACTTCGATGAGTATATTCTATTGATGATGACAACATTATTTGGCAGGTTTCACTAACTTGCACTCCACTGGTACTTAGTGGTGCTTAAATTTAAACTTGGCCAACTTTTGAAATGAAAAATTCACTTCTTTGAAACTTGTAGACAAAATGGGTGCTTGTATCATATGAAAGATATTTGTATATATCCTTTATGAATCTTACTCACGCATATAAAAGTTACCGTGACTTTGAAGAATACTGAAAAATGGCTAAATTCGAAAAATGCACACAGCTTAGCTTTGCTCAGGTGAACATAAATGATAAAATTAGTTAGTAAAGTATGTCTATTTCTAAAGATTACACAACTATTTAGAAGTATTTTTGAAATCTGTGCAAAAGGCAATGAAATCCAGTGCTTTTAATTTAGATTTCCATCTTAACACTCAGTTAAAGCGAAAGCATCTTAATGTACTCACAATTTACAATGTTAGTGCTTTTAAAATTCAGTAGATAAGTGAATAAATATTACATAAAAATTACTCACACGGCAATCGACGAAAGTCATAGGGTGCTGCACGAATAGTGAAATTTTTCACAAAATACTTGTCCATTGTCAAAGTTTGAACTAGTGAACCAAAATAGTTGAAGAAACGAAATCCAGAGTTTTGTAAATATTCCACAGTTGATGTATGACCCCATCCAGGAAATACGACACGACATGTGTCTGTATCTTGTGCATCCAGTGTACTTTGATCATATCTTAAACTATTGTTATATTTAGATAAAACTATAAGAACTACAATTAATAAGTTAATTACGCAAAGTAATTGTACATCTTCTCTGGAAGCATTAAATAAAGTAAATTCAGCCACACAGAGAATATGGTTGACTTTTGAGCTTTCAATTCACAGTAGGCTTGAGCTCCTCCTAGGCCAGGGATTAATATAACTGGATATTTTAAATCATTGGTGTTTTGGTCAATATTTTGAGCTAATAACGGCTGCGCATAACCTACGAGTTTGTAATCAAAAAATGAAAACTACTTCATATTATTAATAATAATAAATTGATATGCTGAATATTATCTATTGCTAGGCGATAAAGACTCTCCGAGACAATGTCTTACGCGTGGGGAATAGTCAGTCACATTATCTTTGACTTAGAGTATTGCCTTGTTAACTCACGCTACAACTAAGTTAACAACACAAATTACTCGTAGACATAGCTTTTATCGCCTAGCAATAGTCATTATTGCAACAATTTAGCAAAAAAAAAATAATTCAAATTTTAAATACTTACTGAAATGATAAATGTTATCAAAGTAAAATGACACAATTTGTACATAAATCTCTCCACTTGCTGACAGTAACTTTCCATTGTCTTATGCAGTGTCATGAATAACTACAGTAAATTGTTGGTCTCCTTTATATCACACCTGAGACACTATTGAATCTACGCATTCCCATGACTAATTATCTTATTGGCTTAATTAATTCAGTGATAAATACTAACGATTATAGGATAGTGTGAATTCTTTATGAAATACCTGTAAAGGATAAAGCAACCAATACTTCAAGGAAAAACAACAACAAAAAGAAGTGCAAAACTAATGGTAGATCTTGCAAACACCAGTTGGAGTATAATTTCTACCAATTAGATTATGAGTTTTACAGTGATGTTTCATATTAATGTTTTCTGTGTATCAATAAAAGAACATACATATTTGCCTATTACTTTACGTAACAGCATATATGTACTATATGCAATAGAGTAGTTGTTTGTATCACGAGGTGCTAGTCTGCATACGTTTTTTTTACTCTGTCCCCATTTGATAATTAAAGAATAGTGAAAACAAAATTATGAAGATCAGAAGACCTGTGATTTCAAGTACTAGAGATGTAGAAAATTAAATCAATTCAACGGAAAATAACTATCACACGTTAATAACACTTGTGAGATGAATTTTTAGTTTTACGTAGTGTAAATGCCCTCCTGGTGACAGTGCACATATGGAAGAGACACCACTTTAAAGACAATAACCAAAATTTCCACAGATGTATATACACAACTCTGTACTGAGAAGAACCATCAAGCCGAATTGTTTGTTTAACCAACTTATACTTCAAGTCCAACCCCTGACTGGCATGAGTTGGAGAACCACTGAAAACCGCCAGGGAGTACTGGACAGGTGTTTCGTCATAGTTTGGGGCTCATTGGCCTCATGGGTACATACTGTCGATAAGTCCCAAACTAGGATGAAACAACCTGAAATGAAAGGAAGTAGAAGCATTATCCTGGATTGAAATTCAGTTCCCCCGGTGGTTCAAGCAGGCAGCCACACAGAAAAAAATAGTGTTTTTAATACAAATACTTTTCTTGTTTTATTCTAGATGAAATCTTTGGCCTCTGCCTAACTAATTCAACAGAACTAATAGATGATGGGTAATTTTGTACACATCGTTTGTCCCATGATAATTAATTTCTTTTCTTGACACGTATACTTGTACATAACATAATTCATCAATATGAAACTGGAAAAAAGTGCTTATATTCAGAAATGATAAGGTCGTAAAGCTGATTTATTTTTAAGGACATGCTCCACTTTAAAATATAGTGGTTTCAGATATCAGTCAGTACACAACTTAAATGTTCGTCGGAGATCGGTTGCTTTGAATGTATGTAGACGTTTAGAAAAATGTCAGTTATAATCAATTCAAATTGGTCACAATCACCTTAGGAACTAACCTTGCCTAGATTACTAGCTCACTAGTTTTCTAGCCGGTCCCAAGCCCGGATTAAGAGGGAGGGTTGGGGCGTGGTGCTAGCAACTCCACCGCCAAAACTCAACCAAATTGTTACATAAACTTCAAGGCACAAATACATTTAATATTCTAAAAATATAAACAATAACCTCATTTTTCGCTGGAATCGGGGAAATGAAATGAAGCAGGCTGGTGAAAGCCTTCGGGAAGCCAGTCAGCCGATGTGCCTTCTTTCGATGAGAGCAAAAATAAGGATGGGGACGTGGAATGTTCGTACAATGTACGAAGCTGGGAAGGCTGCTCAGGTAGCCGCAGAAATGAGGAGATATAAAATAGAAGTGTTGGAAATCTGCGAGAGCAGATGGGACGGATGTGGAAGGAGCCAACTATCAACTGGAGAGACAATAATATACTCCGGTCACCCAGAGGACAATCACGAGCACACCGAGGGAGTAGCCATCATGATGTCACCAATAGCAGCTAAAGCTTTCATGCAGTGGGAACCAATCTCCTCCAGGATAATGACAGCCAGGTGCAACTCAAAAGGAAAAAAGGTTACAATCATTCAGTGCTACGCGCCTACAAACGCCTCAGAACATGAGAAGAAGGAGGATTTCTACAGTCAACTACAAACAGTAATGGACAACGTCCCAAAGAGCGATATCAAAATCCTGATGGGCGACATGAATGCGAAACTGGGAGGAGACAATACAGGAAGAGAACTCACCATGGGTTGTGAGGCCCTCGGTGAAATGAACGAAAATGGTGAACTCTTCTCAGACTTCTGCGCCTTCAATGATTTGGTGATTGGTGGTAGTGTGTTCAAACACAGGGATATACACAAGGCAACATGGATTTCACCAGATGGACACACCAAAAACCAGATAGACTTCATTTCAATCTCAAGGAAATGGAGACGGAGCCTACTGGACACAAGATCGAGGAGAGGAGCAGATGTGGGTTCAGACCACTATCTAGTACAAGGGACATTCAAGGTGAAGCTGAAAGCCTCGAGGATACCTGGGGATAGGCCACAATGCCAGTTCAACACGCAAAAACTGAAAGACACAACCACAAAGGACACTTTCACTGCAACTGTTAGAGCGAAGTAGGAAACACTACGTGACATCACGGAAGAATCATGCGTGGAAGACCATTGGAACTCTCTGAAGGTGATTTTTAACGAAACGTGTTCAACGGTTTTAGGAAGAAAGAAGAGACAAGACAAGGAATGGCTCTCAACAGACACTTGGAAGCTAATAGAGGAGAGGAGAATGGTGAAAGAGAAAATGATTCAATGCAAAGACGGACAAGAGAAAGAGACACTGAGTTCAACTTACACAACACTGGACAAAGAAGTGAAGAAGAATGCCAGGAAGGACAAAAGACAATTCTACGACAATCTGGCCACTGAAGCTGAGAAGGCAGCTGGCAAAAGGGACCTGAGGACATTATATCAGATAACCAAGTCTCTATCCGGGGAGAGATCAACACAAGTGAAACCCATAAAAGACAGCCAAGGGAACCCAATTACCAAGGAAGAAAGACAGATTAAACAATGGGCGAACCACTTCGAAGGACTCTTGAACCGACCACCACCTATAACCCGCCCAGAAATACCAACAACAGCACGTACACAACTGCAAGTTGACACCAATCCTCCAACGAAAACTGAAGTCTTGAATGCAATCAAGCTTCTGAGAGCTGGAAAAGCAGCTAGAACAGATGGAATACCTCCGGAAGCACTGAAAGCGGACCCAGAGACGACAGCAGATATGCTGACTGCATTATTGCAAAAGGTCTGGAAGGAGGGAAAGTGCCTACTGACAGAAAGAAAAGTTACCTCGTGAAACTACCAAAGAAGGGCGACTTAGGACTCTGCAAGAACTGGCGAGGAATCATGCTCCTGTCGACGCCAAGTAAAATTCTGAGTCGCATCATCCTGGAGAGAATAAAGGACACACTGAATACAGAATTCCGACCTAAAGAAGCTGGATTCAGGAAAGGCAAATCATCTTCTGACTAAATTGCAACTCTACGCATTATCATCGAACAAAGCATGGAATGGCGATCAAATCTCTACCTCAACTTCATAGACTTTGAGAAGGCCTTCGACAGCGTTGACCGCGAAGTAATTTGGAAACTACTCGAGTACTACGGCGTAACCCAAATCTTCATCAACCTTATTCAACAGCTGTACGACAACGGCACATGTCAAGTGATCCACAACGGAAAACTCAGCGAGGCATTTGGAGTAAACACAGGAGTCAGACAAGGGTGCTTATTATCACCAATGATATTCCTAATTGTGATGGACTGGATTATGCGTCAGACAGTGGGAAACGAGAAGACAGGGATATCCTGGACCGACGTGAAGAACCTAGAAGACCTGGATTTCGCGCGTGGATGATTCATGTTTGATGTCACACAAAATCGAAGACTTACAAGTGAAAACCGACAAACTGGTCGGAGAAGCAGCAAAGACAGGACTGCAGGTGAACATAGACAAGACGGAGGTTATAAAAATAACCAACCAACCAACAACAACAACAGCAACATCCAGCGCCAATCACCATCAACGGAAGGGATTTGAAAGAGGTTACTTCATTCACTTATCTAGGGAGCATTGTCTCAACTACACGAGGAACGGACGAGGATGTCAAATCGAGAATCGGGAAGGCGAGAAATACATTCATCAACCTGAAACCAATCTGGAAATCTTCGTCACTCAGCATCAACAACAAAATTCGGATTTTCAATACAAACGTCAAGTTAGTTCTTCTATACGGATCAGGAACTTGGCGGGTCACAAAGAATATTTCCAACAGGTTGCAAACCTTTATCAACAACTGTCTTCGCTTTATACTGAAGATCAGATGGCCGGAAAGAATCACAAACAAGGAGCTATTGGAACAAACAAAACAAGAACCAATCGCTCAACAAATATGCAGGAGAAAGTGGAGATGGATTGGACACTCGCTGAGGAGGCCGCTGGGTGACATTGCGCGTCAGGCCAACGCTCGAGTGGAACCCGAAAGGGAAGCGGCGAGTGGGACGTCCAAGGGTGACATGGAGGAGATCGTGCGAAGAGGAACTGGAATAGTATGGACTAACATGGATGCAAGTGAAAAGTACAGCAGAAGACAGAAGCAAGTGGAGACGTGCAGTTGAAGCCCTATGTTCCACTAGGAACCCAAGGGAACAATAATAATAATATAATAATCACATTCGGTAGGTGAACAAACACCTCATCAGTCAGGTGTATAACTGAATCGCCGTATGGTTGAAGCGTTACTAATGGTAAATGGTGTTTACTGAGAAGAAATTTTAACATTAACAATAAGCGAAAATGGTGTTCCTTGTTCTTAGGTCATATTTGTTGTCTATAATATTTTATCCAACGGTGATGGAAATGTCATAAAACCTTATACAACTAAACACATTTTCTAGCCGGATGCAGAAAACACATTCTTACATTATTCCCATCACTGAATCATTTCCTTCGATTTTGTACTTTTGCTAGAGCTTATAAGTGTACACAAGTAACGTCACATGGTTTCCAGAATATACACAACTCCACATTTCACAAGTTGCTACAAGTTGCGAGATTTCTCCTTCTTATTCAAAAG